TCAAATTTCCTGGTTTTTTTGATTGGAGAAAACAGAATCTAATGGAGATTATATGAAATATTTAATTTATTTTTTCTTTCGGTTTTTAATTAGGTACTAACCATATCTGGTGCTGGCTGTAGCAAAACCCTAGCTCTGGTGATGATACCAAACTGACCAAGACCACCTAAAACGGAGAAAAAAAGCTCCGAATTCTCAACTTCCGAGCAAGTAACGACGTCTCCGTTTCCCGTTACGACGTCTAACTCCGTTACATTCGACGTTTGTGGTCCGTAACGGAAAGCTTGTCCACTAACGCCGGCATTCGACAACGTCCCGCCTACCGTTAACCCGAGATAATCCGTCCACGACCTCGGAGCTAAACCGTACTCCGAAACGCACCGTTTCAACACATTTTCCCATAATGCCCCTCCGGAGACATCAACAAACGCCGTACCACCACCATCGCCGGATAAAAAACCAACCTCGAAATGATTCTCCGCCGTGGAACTCATATCGACGACAAGCCCTCCTTTCGCCATAGCCTGACCGTTGATCGAATGGCCGTTTCCACGAGCCGCCACCGTGAGTTTATCCGATCTCAGAGCTGCTTTCACCGCTCCGGCGATATCCGCCGGTCCCACCGGTCTCACCACGGCGAGTGGCTTCACAAAGTTCATGCCGCCGAAATCTTTCCCGGCGATATCAGCCGCATCGCCGCCGCATACGATTGTCCCTTGGAGGTTGAGTGACTCTGAAACACCGTCGGAAGATTTTCCGGCGACGGCGGAAGCCTCAGCGTCGTTATCCAAGAAGTATGGCTCTATGTAAGCTATCATTTCTATTTTTGAGTGATTGTATTTGCTATTTGAAAATGGAAGCTTTTAGCTTTTAGAACCAAACCTTTATTTGTTTGTCTGTGGTGAGAGAAGAAGTTGTGGCTTAGCTATAAATAGCGACTGAGGTTAGCTTTAGGAATATATTTATTTTTAGTTTCTTGATTAACATTTTAATTGTTTTGAATTTTATTATTTCATTCGGCCGCTGAAATCAATATTTTTAATAACGTCTTTGTGTGTGTGTTATTTTAAAACGAAGATATTGGATTTTAAATAAGTCTCCTAAAATTTGTCAATACTGAGTTATGTGAAGATAACTAAAGGAGGAAAGAAAAAAAGAAAAAAAATGATTCAACGATTCTTAAAAGAATGGTTAAAGGATCCTCAAAATCTGTCCCGTACCGAAAAAGAAAACCAATTAAAATAAGAGAAAGCAGAAAAATTTAAGAAATTAAATGTGTAAGAAAGTTGGTCTGTATGCTTACGGCATTATAGATAGATGACGCAGTTATTGTTTTTTGAAGAAAAAATCTATGAAAATTGAAAATGAGTTCTTCTACCACCAAAACTCAATGAGCTAGTTGAAATTATTGGTCCAAAAAAAAAATGAGCTAGTTGAAAATTTGAAATATCATGTTTAGTTCTGCATTTAAGATTACCCCAATTCAACAAACCTAACTGTATGGGCATGTATATAGATTACATGTTACACTTTGATTTCTTTGAGACATTAAACAAATCAGTTTTGCAAAATTAAAAAAAAAATTACCCCAAAAAGGTTGAGCACAAATTATGCAATATACACTTTTATGCGGAACTATTTGATGAAAACTTTTGGACAAGAAAGTAAACTCAATTATTGAGATTGATCGATGATTATGTCATTTCCATCCCGAAATTTTAGCAATGGTTTGATAATGTTAGGGATTTGATAGTCATTAGTGTTGATGATAATCAGTAATCACTCTGGTTTTGGAAAGTAGGTTTTCTTTTTTAGTATTTTTTTTTTCTTAAATTATACTTGGATTGTACTGGACAAAGATGAGTTCACATAAAATTTGTGCTTTGTGTTCTTTACCACACGAACTGATACGTCTGTGGTGGCCACATTATTTATGTAGCGAGGGCGAGATATATATGAAACAAAACAAATGCACAAACTATAAGAAAAGTAACCGGTATTTTTTCAAGGTAAATAACATCTCATTAACAAAATTTACAATTTCTGATTGGTTTTCTACCAACTTTAATTCGAATGGCTAATAGATCCGTATCTGAAACATGCTTGTTTTGGATATCTAGATTTTCGGGTATTTAAAAAATATTCGAGTATTTATGGCTACTCGTATGATAAACATGAGATCCCAAATCGAATCCTAGATTAATCTCTTAGACAAGTGCAGTAGTCGGATGATATAGAAAAAGGTTAAACAACGTATACA